TACATGTGGGCGATGAGTATGTTGGATAGGTGGTCGTTCAACAGGTGGTGGCACTGGAGGCAAGGACTTGGTCACAGCTGGAACAAGAGGAACAAAATCCACAATTGGAAGAGGAAGGGGAGGAGGTGATGAAGAGGAAGAAACATCACCGAACCCCAAGAAAAATGTAGTAGACTCAAAGAAGGTAACATCAGCACACACAAAGGAACGTCGAGCGCTGGGATGATAACACTTATACCCTTTCTGAGTCCGGGAATAGCCAAGGAAGATGCACTTAATAGATCGTGCATCTAACTTGTGCTTTCTTGGCCCCAGATTATGAACGAAGCAAACACACCCAAAAACCCGAGGAGAAAGGGGAAACGCAGAGTAGGAAAGCAATGTGGTGAATGGAGAATGACCATCAAGTATAGACGTGGGCATCTAGTTAATCAAGAAGCAAGAAGTAAGCACTACATCACTCCAAAAAGATTTGGGGACATTCATGTGATGCATGAGGGATCGAGCTGTTTCCAAAAGATGACGGTTCTTTCTCTCAACCAGCCCGTTTTGTTGTGGAGTGTAGGTACACGAAGTCTGATGGATAATGCCATGTTGGTCTAGGTATTCTTGAAATGATGAAGAGAAATATTCACTGTCATTATCGGAACAAAAAATTTTAATGTGAACACCAAATTGGTTGCGAATCTCAGCATAAAATTTTTGGAARRTGGTARACAATTCACTYMTTTCTTTCAKTAAATAGAGCCACGTCATCCTTGAATAATCATCAACAAAAATGATAAAATATTTATATCCATTGTATGACGTTACTTTATAAGGATCTCAAACATCTGAATGAACCAAAGAAAAATGACTCGACAAACGGTTATCAACTCTAGGACTAAAGGGAACACAATGATGTTTCCCCAACTGACACGATCACAATCCAAAACAGACAGATGACTCAATGAAGGAACTAAAGACTTCAAAACTTTCAGTGAAGGATGACCAAATCTATAGTGCCACTGGAGAGGAGAAAGAGACGATTGCAGAGCTGTTGATGTACTTCCACCACCATCAAGATAATACAATCCACCGACTTCATGTCCTCCATCAATCTTCATCCCCGTCTTGAGATCCTGAAAAACACATGAAGAGGGGTAAAAGGTAATGGAGCAATTAAGAGACTTGGGCAACTTACTAACTGACATAAGATTAAAAGGAAATTTAGGGACATACAAAATTAAGGATAAGGATACAGGGTCCGTGTTAACATTTCCAACACTACAAATGGAAGATGTGGAACCATTAGCAAGGGTAACAGATTGTGATGTTGGGCAATGAGAGAGGGAAGATTGGGTAACAGATTGTGATGTTGGGCAATGAGAGATGTGGAACCATTAACACACCTGGAGTTCCATTCATGTGATCGGAGGCTCCATAATCAATAATCCAGGGATTGGGTGTGGATGCCAGACAAGCCATACCCGAGTGTGCGAGAGTGACCGTGTTCTACTGAGATGTGGCCTGAACAAACCTCTCATACTCATCATGGGGAACACTTATCATTTCCTTCCCAGTAACATCTGTGGATGTAGAAGATATCTGATCAGTTGAATGACTATCCTGTCTGAAGCTACTGTCACTAGTCATGGCATGATTGGCCCAAGTTGAGGGTGGACCATACAAGTCATAGCAATAATTAATGGTATGTCCATCCATACCACAATGTCTACACCTCCTTGGACCCGAACTACGTCCTCTGCCACGGGCTCCCCCTGAATCTCGACCTCCAGTACGACCACCACCACAGTTATATGTAGGTCCACTACCACCACTCCGGCCATATGCTGGTCCACTGCTGCCACTACGGCCAGACTGAGCTCCCCGAGCACCACCTCTAACACCACGGCCTCTGGATACTACAAAGGCTGATCTATCGGAAACATTAGGATTCTCGGTAGATCCAATGGAAATCCTCCTAAATCGAGCAAACATCTCTTCTAAGGAAGGGAGAGTTRACCCTCCTAGTATCTGATCCCGCACTGGTTCATACTCAGATTTCAGTCCCACAAAAAATCGAGTCACATCAAGTTGTTCCCTCTGTTGTTGCTGAATTTTGACATCAGAAGTGGGGGGGTGATAAACATTCAATTCATTACGAATGTTTCTCATACTAGCATAGTACTCCTCAAGACTCTGATTACCTTGTTGTAGATTAAAGTATTCCTGATACAACTGATATACTCTGGTTGTATTGTCTTGGCCTGAATATAGTTTCTTAGCATGGTCCTACACTTCTTTGGCAGTATCAAGAAACATGAAATTTACACTAATCTTGGGTTCCATACTATTCCATAACCATGTGATAATCTGTGCATCTGCTTGCTCTCAATCATCATACTCATGAGAATCGGTGGAGGGTTTTTCGTCCCTTATATGTTTCACCTTCTTCTTTGCCTTAAGAAAGACTTCTACAGATTTAGCCCAAAGTACATAATTTTCTCCATTCGGCTTAATGGAGGTCATTTGAACATTCAGGTAGTCAGTAGGAACTATCACACTAGTCTTGCTATCACTACTGTCTCCCATTGCTGAATTCTGGTATGGCTGAATTCGGCACACTAGACCACACTACAAACTGATTTCAGCACTTACTATTGCTGTAAACTGTACTCTTTACAGCACAACCCCTACCTCACGACTACCTAAAACTTTACCACACTGTTTGAGGAACACTTCCCCTTCGAATCACACTGAAAACTGTACAAACCCTAGCACACTAAAATCTGAAATCCCACCATACCACCTGAAACAGACTTATCATTTAATTCACACCAAGAAAATGCATAGAACCTCTTACCTGATCACTCAAAAATCAGACCATACAAAGCACTCACTGCACCACACGAATCAGCCCTCTTCTCTTCATCAATTAGGGGAGGGCTTCTTAGAAACCGCAGCAACCGACCACAAACACCATAACTGGAGGCATAGAAACCTCCAAGGGAAGAGGGCGATCACTCCTTTTCATCCCTTTCCCTCATCTCCAACTGATGGCGAAGAAAGCAAGAGAAAACCCTAGACTGGGTGTGCAGAGAACAGAAGTCTGGGCAGATCCGATTTGCTCAGTTTATCTCTGATACCATATTAGAGTTCGGCCTGCCTGTTAGACTGATAACAGTCAAGGAAAAGAGAGAAGAGAGAAAGGAGAAGAATAGAAGAGAGGACAAGGAGGAAAAGGTCTGGTTCGAATGAGAGAAAAATCAACCCTCCCATTTGGCTAGATCTGTTTTATATTACTAAAATATTGTGGAAAAGTCACATTGCCCGTACTTAAGTTAGGGACATTAGATCTAACATAAACTTACACATCAACACCTAACCATAAGCACAAAGACAGAAATACCCCTACATACTCGACACTAACACCCACGATCAGTTCCTCTTCTAAACCCCTCTTCTTCCTTCTCTCTTCTTCTGTTACATAGCTGTGAGATTACTACAACACCCTTTTTTTACCTTTTTCTTGCTGATTCACTAAATTCTGCAGCTTTATTTCCAACTCTTTTGATCTTTGGCTTCAAACAGTTTTGCCAAGAGTGGGAGGCCCATTTGCAAGAGAAAATCTTTCGCTCTCTTCTCTCTCTCCCTCTCTCTCAAAAAAAAAGTCTTGTTCTCTAATCCCATCCTCCAAAACAAACTTTGTTGTGAGCACCGAAAACTCGAACCCTCGCTCTCTTGTCTCTATCCCTTCTTAAAACAAAGAGCGAGGGGTGGAAATAGAGAAGTCCCTCTCTTATTTAAATAAAAAATTATCTTGCAGGTCAGTGGATGGTATGAAGGGACATACAAAATTTAGGGCCCATTTGGATCGTGGGAATAGGAGTCTGGAATCCGAATCAGAATGGCCCATTCTTGTTCCAACCGTTTGGTTGAGCGGAATAAGAATCCCATTCCTATTCCTGGTGGAATGGCATTCCCCCATTTGAGGGAATGACCATTCCCTCCTCCCTTGGGAATGAGATCCCATTCCAGCTGATTCCAATTCCAATTCTGATTCCCATCTGAACCAAACAGGCTATGGGAATAGACCATTCTGGTTCCGATTCTAAAGGATTTCAATTCTGATTCTGGCTGCGAACCAAACAGACCCTTAGATTATTGATTGTGTATGATCAGTATTTGGGGGGGTGGGGGTGAAGTAAGATATCTCAATGTTTTTAAGAGGATTGATCTCATATACCAATAGTAAGACTGTATGTCTTTTAAAACTTTAGGAAGGGGGCATTGCACACTGGAGGCCTCCTTCCGTGTCAGCGCCTTCATCTCCACCTGAATTTGAGGATGTGTTGGAAATCAAAACAGCCATATTTGTCTTATTGTTAGATCTTTACTTTCTTGTAAAGATGATTTGATCTATGTTGGAAGGCCTGGGATTTTAATTGAAGTGGAGTTTGAGAATATTCCTTGAAATAACCTTTAAGTAGGGCTCTAAGATAATGCATCAAAGCAGGCACGTATGAAGTCCCTGCCCCAATTGCTATGAGGCTTACGTAGTTCTATCACTATAATATTTGATATATTAGTTTGAGAAATACTTTATCATCACATCAAGCTTAAACAAACTCTTTTTTAATTTTTAATTTAGTTGCAGGAAAAATTTTGGTTATTATCTTTAACATATTTGTCATTTTAGAAATCTTTGATGGTTTTGTTTTGCACTATATCAAGGGTTTTGGTGCTTCTAAGTTCTAACTAGTAAGTTTGACAGTCAAAAGGTGTAATCTCTTTATTATTACTTGTTAAAATTAAAATCCACGATTTTGCTTTGTTTTATAATTTCATGAAATGCGCTTCAATATATAAAACAGGGGGTTAGTTTTGATCTAGGCATTTTTTTGTCTCTTGTGGTGAGACCTCGATAAGATTATCATCTTTATCATCTCTCTCTCTCTCTCTCTCTCTCTCTCGACTATTAACTGTTTTATAAGGCTTTTTTTCTACTTCTGCATCAGATAAGAATAAAGACGGCATGCAAAATGAAGTAGTAGAATCTGATGATCAAGAGATGAATGTGGAAGATGCCCCAAGAAACCTATCCGATGTCAAAGATGTTGAAATTAACATGATGGATACCGAAATTGAGGACAGTGTTGCAGGTAATGCTGCATTAGGGGAAGGGGATACTCTAGGGGAAGTAAACATGGAGGCCTCCATAATGCCTGATGATGTTATCCGAGCTGGTGGCTTTGGAGCCCGAGATGACATCAGTAGCTTTCTTCCCGTCGCAATTGATTCAACTGATTTTGAAGCTTCTCTTCGTGATGCCCGAGATTATGAAGAACCACAGGGAGAAATATGCAGGCCAGGTCTAGGGTGGAAAGATGCTTCCGAGACAGAAGAGAGTTGATGCTGTTGTTTATTTAACCAAGGTTCAGTGAGTTCTGGTTTTTGTTGTATATAAAACATGCAAGCAATTGTCAGATTTCAGTCGTCTAATGACTTCTGCTTTTTGTTGCCTTTGTCCTTGGAAGTATACTTATATTACATGATTATATAAATTCGGTTTGCTTAAATCGTCCTACTTAAATTTTTCTGTTACAACTTCTTGGTAAGCTAATGCAACAGATTGTATTACATTTGTTCTCTGGAGACGTTAGGCTGTGTTTGGTTTGGTAAGAGACAGAAAGTTGAGGTCAATAGCCTTAGGAAGCGTCAATTTTAGAGTCCTGTATGCTTTGAAAGGTCAACTTACTCATTTTGTAAGCAACAATTTACAAGTTTGGATGCTTTTTGATCCTGTTGAAGGTCAAATAACTAATTTCATATTTGAAAATTTGGTCCATGCAACTTGTGAACAAAATGGCAAGCAGTAGTCCCACGGTCTCTCCTCTTTGCTTACAAGACTACAATTGTCGTAGGGACCCGGGAAAGAAAGTATGAATTTGATTTATTAAATTTACACTTGGATCTACCTATTCAAGTGTCGTAGGCCTGTGTTACGAGAAGTTGGTAGCCTTTTTGAATATTTTCTGGCCGGGAGCAAGAATTGCTAAAGGGTCGTAAGCAGATTTCCTCTGTGCAAAGACTTCCCAACGAGGGCCAAAGTGGGCTCGCCACTCTTCCTGAATGGTGTAATGGGGCAGATACTGCTTCATCCCATTTTGGGTTGCTTCACAGAAATCTAGAATTCTCTTGTGCTGAAATAAAATGTGCTCTAAGCCCTCCATCCTTGTAGAAGAAGGTGCTGCAGAGGAAAGAAACGCTACTAGGTAGAAAATATCTTCGTTTGGAATGACTGTAGATGTTCTGTTGTTCCACCTGCAAAAAGGGGAGGAAAGAAGTAGCAGCAGCAGGTTAGAAATCTGGAATTTAATTATCGCTTTTCGTGAATTAATGATTCGTGTATAGTTAGTACTTGGATCTGTTGAGCGGATAGACGAGGACGGGACCATTGCTTGTGTCTGTAAGAATGTTGCCAAAGACCTCAGCAGCGAATTCCTGGATTTTGCTTCTGGGGATGAGAAGATTGAGCCATGGGTGTGGAATTTCCCACAGCCCTTTTGATTGCAGTTTTAGCTCTGACACATGCACTCTGTCTAGGAACTCAAGGTATGAGACTTCTGACACGAAAAGTGTTGACGGAATGTAATTCAGCTGAGACAACAGGCTCTCAACTTCCTGCAACCAGAGGGCATGGGGAAGAGATGATGATCAGATGAGATAAGCATTCATTCTGCATGTTTTTTCTGGAGTATATGATGCGGGGTTCCATTTCTTACCTGGTTCATGGCATCAGTCTCATCTGGGTTGAAGTTTTTGGTCATTTCCAGGCAGAACAGAGTTCTCCCATCGGAGTTGAATCGGCTGGCTTGAAGTGGGTCTTGGGGATTAAAGGAGGATCTCCAGTTATTTAGGAGACCCGTTCTGTTTATTATTACGAAACCTTCAATATAGTCGAATGTATTCTCAGCGGAAATTAGATACTCCTGGTCCTTGACAAATATAGAGAAGTCGGAGTAGAGAACTCTAATCCATTTAACCTGTCGAAAGTGATAAACTGTGTTAACAAAAATAGCCATATTCGAATATTCTTTCTGCATGCACACCTTTCAGGAGAAAGGATATTCAGCTGTTACCATTTTAGGTGCAGGTTCAAGGGCAATTGTAGCTCGGGTGATGATCCCGAACTGGCCTAGTCCCCCCAGAACACCGTAAAAGAGGTCTTCATTTTGATTCTCAGAACAGCTTACCACTTCTCCTTTTCCTGCAGGCAGAGTTTGGAGTCAAACATATTGATTCTAAGAACAAGTTACAACTTGCATTTGTCTGCCTTTTCTTTTTTTTTTTTTTTTTTATTTGTTGAGACAAACCTGTAACGACCTCCAGCTGGTAGACATTACTGATCTGGGGCCCATGCCGGAACGCCTGCCCACTTATCCCAGCATTGGACAAGGTGCCGCCGACGGTGAGATGGAGGTAGTCTGTCCAAGATTTCGGTGCAAGCCCATGTCTAAGGGTCTCATGCAGAATATCTATCCACAGTTCTCCGCCAGAAACATCTACAAACGGGAGCTTTCCAGCGTGAACCTTCATTTTTCGTCTCTGAAGCGACTCCATGTTGATGACTATACCTTTGTGGGCTTGAGCCTGGCCTTGGGTTGAATGGCCATGGCCTCTGGCTGCAACTGTAAGCTTTGAGCTGGGACCCAGTTGCAAGACATGCTTTATAGTTGTGGCAATATCTGAAACAGACTTTGGACGTAGAATTGCTGATGGCAGGAAATTGTATTGGTTGCCAAAGTCTCTGGCTGCATGGTGAAGGTCATCAAAGCTGAAATACCCATCAAGAGTCAGTGCTTTGAGTGAGGAAAGGATGTTGGAGGAATCCGAGCCTAAGACAGTTGGAATGGTTGGATGAAGGTTGGAGGAAACGTTGGTTCTGGCAGTGATACAGCTCAACAACAGGACCAGGAGACATCTTAGCAGTATAGTGTTGTTTGATCGAAGGAAACCAAGAGGTGGTGAATTCATATTTTCTTGCAGGAAGATAGTAGGAGAATAGTAGAGGCAGAGCTCTTACTGGGTTGTTTACTAGTGAAGCTAAGAAAGGGAGAGGTATGGAAGGGCCAAGAGATTGAAAGGTTGGGGAGTATTTAAAGGGAAGGTTTGGACGGCTAGTCAATCCCATCTTCAGTAGTGAGACTCCGTAAGAAGACTGTCTACTTGGGTGGAGGGGGGAGTACAGGAATTTTCTTTCAGTTCTCCTTTTTGGGTTCTTTTGTTAATGGAACTATACAAGCCAAACTTGAAGTGACAAAGCCCCAATTGCCAGTTAGTAAGTTAGGCGTATTCCTGTCACTGTGGAAGTGAGTTTGTGTACCAGATACCGAAAGAAACCTGCTGGCCCCTTCAACAAGTAGCCAAAGAAAGCAGAAATAAACTAAAAAAGAGGATGGTAAAAGAAGGTCTAAGAAAGAGAGATTTCACATTTCCCATGCACAACTGTGCAACCACATTCCTTCCTTTTCCATCAAAGACAAACATGTACAAATTTAAGAAATTTACCAGTCGACCTTATGGGGGATAGTTTTGCCATTTTGGAATAAAGATATTTCAAAGGTAGGCATCTATTTTTGGTGGCAAATTTAATTTCCATCTGCAATGACCTTAGACAACCATGAAACTTCCCAACTATTACGGGTATGTCCCTCAATTGCATCCACTGTTGTCAGAAATGGTACATGATGCATCAATTTTCCAATCGGAGAGTGATCGGTGGGTTGGCCCCCTCTCATTTGCATGAGGAAAGAGTTAAGTGTGGGTGGGGAGGAGTCATGGAGGTCAGATCTAGCTCAGTGCACGTGATTTTCACATGGGAGTGTGAATGTAGGTGTGGAAGTGGGTGGGTGGGGGGTGAAGGGAGAGAGAGAGAGAGATTTTTAACTCTACTTGGAGAGAGTGTGTAGGGGCCTGCGTTGGGCCTTTCTGAAGGCCTAACAAAGCAGAGAAGTGGATATGAGAGATGACAGTCGGAATGGAGAAAATACTTAAAGGCTAGCTATTCTAATCTATTTACTTAATGGTCAGTGGAGCTTCAGTTCCCAGCACTGAGACAAGCTAGAATGCACCCTTTCTATGTTGATATATGTCATGCTGAGCGTTTTGTGGAAATTATTACACCATTTTGCTTTGTTTACGAGGTTTAAGTGACCCTTTTGAATTTTGCAGCTCTTGTGAGCTGTAATTTGGCCTAAACCCTCAAATTAGTGAGTAAATCAGATGGTTGTTTGGCAAGTATTTTTTTATAAGATCTTCTGACTGACCTGATAGTCAAAAGACGTTGTGAGCTTTTATATTAAGATCTTAACAGTTTAAAAATTATTTGGTTAAGGTGCACATTTTTGCACGTCTTTTCACGCGAAGACAAGTTCAAAAAAAAGTGAAAACTTTTATTTAGAAGCTTTCCAAAAATAGTCTGAAATGGGCTTTCTGCGTTTTTTCGAGGCTGCAGCTTTTGGCGGCTAAATCTTTTCCTAGCCAAAACGTGAAAAGACGAAAACACGGGCTGCTAGGCTTCTAAAAAGCCAATAGCCTATGCGAAAAGACACACCAAATGGGGCCTAGTGAGCTAGTCACTCATTTGTGCTGAAGAACCAAATCTTGGTTATTATATGTCCTCTAGAAGGAAACTGACCATAAATTAAAAAAAGGGTAAATTACAAAGATCCCCTTGTATTATGGGTCAGTGACAAAGACCCCCCTGTACTTTAATTTGCAACAAAGATGCTCCTAAACTTTAGCCGTTAGACAAAAACCCCTTCCATTAGTATTCTATCAGTTATATAAATTCAAATTAGATTTTCATTTAACTATTCGATGTTTTTTAAATTCCCAAATTACCCTTTTTTTTTCTAAATCACCAAACTAAAAACACTAGAAACCCCATACGAAAGGGAAAGACTCCATGTAAATAGCATCGGAGCAGATGAGGAGGATCTGTAAGCCATTGTCTTCATGTGCTTAGAAGACCTAATTGTAATTTTTAGAAAGAAAGAAACTGAAACCATGAAGGGTTGCAAGGATTTCAACGATTTGGATATATCATTCAAAGGGAAAGAGTGGAGCTTTCCCTACATTTGATCTTAAGCATGACTAGCTATGAGATATTGGAATTATTGGATTGGATTGATAAATTAGGAGAAAAGTTTTTTTTCTAAGGGAAAAAGGCTTTTTTAAGTGAAAAGGGCAATGAAAAGAAAATTCAGAAAGCTTTGATGGGTATTTTGGTAATTTAATACATTCCGTCATCTGACTTAACAGTTAGGGGAGTATTTGTCATATGATTAAAGTTTAGGGGGGTTTTTCTCACTAACACCATAGTACAAGGGGGTCTTTCTAATTTACCCCTAAAAAAATAAGGGTAAAGTGAAGTGAATAAGACAATAACAAATCAATACCATGACCATATCAACAGTCCTGATGGAATTTGATTGGCTAGGGTACATAACAAACACCCAATAAAAATAGGTCAAGTTGGTCTGGTGCCACTTGGTTGCTCATGATCGTCCCAACAGCCAAGTCATGAGCCCATCATCATACCATGGAGACTAAGGGCCTAGATATCGAGGTTGGTAGGACAGAATTGATCTAGAATCCTCAAACCTATAAGATTATAAATAATAACATATTGTTCTTATCATGTTCCCTATCCCACTTACATTCCACTCTAATCTTGTCCTTCTGTCTCTTGCCACCCAAAAACCCACTCTCTTCTTACCCATGTTCTCCCTGCTCTTATCTTCAATGCTTTCATCAAGTTGCTTAAGTTGTTCAAAGACACCATTAAGCAAAATTAATTACTAGAAATCTATTCCTCAAATTATTAGTGTAACTTTTCTAAAGTATATAATTTTCTTAGAATTGGAGACTGGGGGAAATAGTTGGACCAATTGATGGAAGAAGAAAGGCACCACGCAGCATCTTAATAATGAGAATGTTGGAGACAATCACAGTGAAAATTTAAGAAAGAATGGCTATTGGAGACTGAAATTAAGGAAATTGTTTCCAATATTATAGACCATAATTACTATAGACAGCTTTGATCATGGGATCCACTGCTTAATTAAGAAGCCTCGTTTAGATAATTTCCTATATATATATATATGCTATAGAAAATCTCCTAGAGCCTGTCAGATGATAGTGAAGCACCAATTAATTCATATTCTTGTTTTGGATGGTGCAGAGAATTTAAAAATGGTGAAATAATTCTTGTCGGGCATAGGCTGTCTTAATAAGCTAAGCTTTAACTTGCCTGGTTGGGGCCCTCAGCTCAGGTCACCACGAGTCTAACAAGAGCTAAACTGCTTTTTCTGGAATTAAGCTCGTTTAATTTAGACAAATCAGCTGGGTCGACTACAACTGGGGGTCTCGGGCTTTTTCTTTTTTCGGTTGGATTCAGCTGTGAGGAGAGGTAAAGTTGATCTCAGGTTCAGTTRCTGATGACCAGCCTTAGTTTTACCGAACTTTCCTATATATGTGTAAGCTTTTTATGGATAGTGTTGGTTGAAAAGTGAGACGGTTGGCATCTCTCCAGACAAGGACGGGAATAAGCTTAAGAGCTAACTGTTTGCAATCTAGCTTTTGTTTTCTTTTTCATTTGTTTATTTTAATGGGTATGAAGCCAGGTAGGGACCCTCATCAAATACGATTCTCAGCCCACCGAAATGTGTTGCTTAAAATACAAAAGAAATCAGATACCATAAACTATTTTTGTGTCTTGGTCCGTGAGTTGGAGGGTAGCTAGTCTCTCTCAGGGAGGCCCGGCCGGCGGCCATTTATTTGGCTGAACTGATCAAGAAACCTTACTTTCAGTCAAGAAGAAAAAGACAACCAATGATTCCTGTGGCTACAAGGAAAGCAAGCAGAAAAGGTTTGTTAGAGAATGGTGTAGTAATCAGATCTACGTCGCTTTTAGTTCTTCTAGTTAATTAGGAGTTTAGTGGATGCACAGAAGAAGGACCACACGTCTCCCATGTCAACCTCTTCTCTGGTGTGGCAGATTTCAGCCCAGAAAAGCCTTGCCGTGTAGGGAAGAAAACTTGGCTCATGATTCTGGATTAGTTAATTAATTGTTCTTGATGACAAACATATATTTAATTATCAATATTAATTGTGGATATATAATGGGTTTTTAAATTTAATATCGTGAGTGTAAGGGCTTGTTCGTTTTGTCTTAACTCTTATCTCTTAAGAAAAATTTTATAATTTTAAGAGGAAAATGGGTGTTGACTTCCTCGTATCTCTATCTCTTAAAGTTGATTCTTACAACTTTTTGTTTTCTAATGATACTCTCAAAACACCAATAAAGATTTTCATATATGTACTTAAAATGAACATTTAACAATTTTCAGAATTCAGAATTAAGAATAAAATTCAGAATTCAGAGGAAAGAAAAATTTGCCAATACTAATATACCTCTTAATATAATTATTACACTTTCAGATGTCAGACATTAGAGCAGACCAACATGCCATATATAAGTCGAATAAATTACCATCACGGATTTGTACTCATGTTGGAGAGTAGCTTTCTGCAGCAAACTAACAATCTCTGAAACGTTCAGTTTTTACCCGTTCTGAAGATTTTTAACAGCAAAAATCAACTGTGTTAGACAATTTCATTAACAAAAAGATTGCATCAACTTTTTGAACGGTTGAAAAACATGGATACCCTCTTTAGAAAATGCTAATGGTTAGAGTTATAGGAGCTAATTAAGCCTTTATTCTGTTCAGTAAATATCATACATGAATTCTACTACTTTGATGTTCATGTTCAAAAAGATTTCCCACTAATTGTCTATACTAGGTACTAGGCTACTGCAATTTTCTCCTTAATGTAGACTAAAAATGAAAAGCTTCGAGGACAGTAGAGTTGAGGCCCCCCTCCCACCGATCAAAAAAGAAAAAAATAAAAGAAAGATGACAGAAAAAAAGGGAGAATATAGATGATATGAATTGACTACAGAACCAGTCCTACTCTAGAGGATCCACTGATGTAGCCAAGTGATTTGAGAGCTGATGTGGAAAACCTTTATGAAAGGAAGTAGAGCATATATATATATATATATGCTTTTAATGATTTCAGATAATAGAATTTAGTGTATAATACACACAATGTAAAGACAAATGCCAAATATTTACAGGTCAGGATCTCAGTGGGCCGGCCTTTGGGGTCAGCAGACTCCTACTATAGCAACAGCTTCT